ACCAGCCAAAAACGGATGTTTCAAATGCAATTTACGTCAAAAACAAAACAAACTTTGAAAAATAAAAACGAGCCGGCAACAGGTTTTGACTCAGCCCACTGCTTAAATTTGAATCAATTACTCTCTCGGCTGCGCCATAACACCTTGCTGTCTTAAATTGTTGACTCGTGTTCTAATTAACCTTGCGATAGCAAGGGTATCGCAATCGGGTACTAGACTTTTTTTTCCCGTAAACAACTTTGTCTACAGGACTCATTGGACTCCTAGTGGTACCTTAGTTCACAATAAAATCAAACGTTGTAGTGTCTCTTGCATACTTAACCTGGAGTTAACGAATGCTCCTAGGACGCCAAAGACCCTGGGTTCAAATCTGACTAGGACCAGTTTTTTCAAACGGTTATGTTCCGGTTCAAAAAAAATCGGCCTATAAATTGTCTGCTTATATTTTGTCGGCTTGATTGCTTTATCTAGCAATCATTTTACTTAAGCTGTAAACACTTTTTACTACAGTTGTTTTCAGCGTTTTAAAAATCCGGCCGCACTGAAATTTGCTTTTCACATTGGCTGTAATTTTACCAGCTCGATTTGTTGAAACTTCACTTTTTATTCGTCTTTTTATCGGCTGAAAAAATTTCGGCCTAATTAATATCGACCTAGTGGCCTCTTATTACCTCTTTACGTCCGAAAAAAAATTTTGTGCTCATGTGTGTGCTCTGAGGCGAAAAGGGTACATTTTTTTTATAAGTTAAGAACTTTTTGAATTTCTTTTCGGCATGATGGGTTTCTGCTTAGGTGTTTTCGACTTTGTTACCGGTTGCTAACTATAAAATCAAATCCAATCAATTATCTAGCGCATCTGGCGTAGAGGTATAACAACTGCTTGAGACGACAAAGATTTGCGGTTCGAATCCGGCTGGGCCCTTTTTTTTGCAAACTTTGTGCTTTTTCGGACTACCGTCCGTCTGTTTTCTTTTTCGTCGGCTTAATTCCCGTAGCTCAATGGTTTAGCTTTGATCCAAGTTGCGGAAAAAATTGTTTCGTGCAAATAGAAAATTTTGGCTAATTTAGGTTATTGTCTGTCTGCCTAATTTTGTCTGCTCAGTTCCGCAGAAAGAACTTTTTTTGAAACATTGGATTATGCATAGCATTCTAAAAGCTATTTGCAGATCTTCTAATGATCCAGGCAATTTTTTTCCGTGTATTTTGAACTTCTGCTGCAATTTTTATTGAAAAAAAAAAACGATTTCGTTTGATTTTCGTAGTCATTGATAATTGTATCACAAATCGTGCAAAGCTCAGCTTCACCACTGTGTAAAACCATTGAGCTTTTCAAGTTCTAATAAGAGAAGTGAAGGCAATTCAAGCGTTTTTACAAAAAAAAATTTGTTTACGCTCAACAATGAAGGTACCTAAAGCGTTTTCCAAAAAAAGTTTTTATCCACACCCAACAGTGTTTTGCGGTTTGGCTTCTTGTTTAAAGTCAAATTTTTACTTCAAGTTAACTTGTCATATCATAGGCAAGTTGCGCGCCCCAATAACAAAAGAGCAAATGACGCGAAAAAAGGTGAGGATTTACTTGTTTCATCCGCTTCAATAAAACTGATGAAATAAGTTTTCAAATGGCAATATAATGTGAGCACTAAACATATACTGAAACTAGACAAAAAAAAATTCGGCGCAAAGTTTTTGAATTAGATCGGGAAAAAGCACAAAAACCAAACAAGAGGAATCTCATGTTGTTTGCCGAACTTTATTATGAAATAACCAACTTCTGAAAAATCAAAAATAGCCGACAGACAGTTGGAGAAGATTCAATGAACACAAGTATGCAGAAAAAAAATTAGAGTTGTTTTTTTAAACTTCAACTTTCATATTTCCGAGTAAAAAATAAATGGCCTTGAAACTCTTTAAATTTGAGAAAACGGTATACTAGGCAAAAATTTATTCAGCTGGAAAATCTGAACAAAAATTTAGAAGTCGAACACGTTTTTTCGCGTTAACTCTTTTTTCGTGATTAGAGAGCGAATTTCGTCTGCTTTTTTGCAGAAGACTTAGTATTCAACTTAAAAAGTGCAAACTCACCTGAGCGCATTCAAAATTGCATTACTATCGCATTCAAAAATGCATTTTTATGTGAAATGCACTTTCTGTAGTTTTTAAAGCATTTTAAAACTATTCCTGAAAAAAAAAACGAATAATAAAAGAGCCTGAACTACGCTTATCAACTCTCAACAAAAGTGAAAAAAGACTTTTCCTGAGAAAAATCAACGATCAAATCATCACGACCCATATTAGTTTCTGAGTTACGTTCATCGATTCTTGAAAAAATCAAAAAATGCAAAAATTGTGGTTGTTGTTTTAAGCCCGGAGGGCGCCGCAATTGGCATGCTCAAACCATGCGCCAAGAACGTCGTAACTTCGGCAAAAAAAAGTTTGGGCCAGCCCCAAGAAACCCCGGATAGAGCCTTCTTGATCAATTAAAAGCGCGCGTCTGACGCAGATGTTCGCTGGCAAAGTTCTGCGAAAATCAGGGACAGGTCGAAGGAAACACAAAATATTTCACAATATGTCTCGAAGGGCAGTCTTCTGGTGTTCATTTCTACGTTCGGATTGTAGGTAAAACCTTTTCAAAAGAAAAAAACTAGCTTTAGGAGAAAAACAATGGGCCTTGAGAGAAAACGTTTGTAACTTAGGAAATTAGATAAATGAGATTGATATGGCCGTTAAAAATTTGCTGAACTGGACAAAAGTGTGGAAGCTTGCAGCTTTACATCGGGGGTATTGATGGAGCTTGAAAGACGTATAAATTTTGCTGCGGATAAGAGTGATCCTGAGGAGACACCTGTAAGAACAACCCTGATCTTTGACAGGACGTCCGTGAACAAAGTTTTTTTTTACTTGAGGCCCACTCAGGTAGTTTGACAACTACTTAATTAGGCTTTCCGTTAAAGTGGTGCCATGAAGGAGACCCAGGAGGTTGCAATAACTGACAATGTTAAAAGCTATTGACAAATCACGAGTGGCCAGGACGACCTATTTGTCGACCTTCGTTAGTTAAACCCTCGCTGATGAAAAATTTCAAGAGTGAAAAGTGCTGTGCGGGATAAATGCATCGGACGAAAACCATATTAATGATCGGCTTTGGGTAGGAACTTTGGAACAGGATAAGATTGGGATGTATCAAATATTCTAAGATTGTGAAAGCTTCGTTTAAGATCGAAACTGCTGTTTTTCGGGAGGGGTATCACTTTGGACTTAATTCAAAGCTAGGTAATATTGTTTGAAGAAAGAAAAGCTCAAAAATTTTTTTTAAAAGGCTTATGCTTTTGTTCGGATATAATTCAGGTGAAAAGTACAGAGACCATCCGGTCCTAATATTTTGCCGGTTTAAGGCTGCGTTTAATAAATTGCTCGTTAAAAGCATTTGCAATGCCTATCGGCCGAGAAAGTTTGTCGTTTAAATTATTTGTGTGGGTTGGCTTCCTATAACAGACTAGCTGCCATTTGACGACCGGACCATTTTCCAGAACTTAATAGAAGACATTTCAAATTTTAAAATTCTGAAGGGATTTTCCCCTTTTCTTTGCTTTTAGAACTCTTCAAAACTCTTAAAAAAGGGCCCGATCAGATAAAAAAAATCTTTTTTCATCGCTTTGTTGCGCAACTTCGTTGTTATTCCTCTCGACTGGAACAAAGAAACAAGCCCGGCCAGCAGGAATGTGGTGAATTGCAGCAGAAATTCCGTGTCACCAAAGGTCCCTTCTGCGGCGTTTACATCATGCTGCAATGTTTTCGTAGCAAAAAACCTTTTTCAGTCAGCTTTTTAAAAATAAATAGAAGTTTTGAAGGGAGCAAACGGTATATCTTCTGCCATTGGGAGGATAATTAAAACTGGAAGATGATCTGAGCCCAGCTCAAAAAATTATTGCCATGACAGGTTACATGTTTAATAAAATAGATGGCAAGACCTGGGAAGATCGAGGAAAGATGCAGACGTGTTGATATCGTATGGGAGCCTATTTTGATTATGGACATTTGGTAGAACAAAGTAGATTCAATTACTTCAACTCTGTGTCTCGCTTCCGGTTAATCTTTGGGGATAATGATTTACTATGGAAAAGAGTTTGCATTAGCGTCACCGAGAACAATACTGTTTTCATCAGATTCAAGAGCTGCAAGGGAGGCTTTAAAGTCTTCGGAGCTGCTGGTGCGGGATATAGAAAATTGTGATACGGAGTTTTGGATTAATGGCCTTTACTTTTACGCATTGCGCCTCCAAAACTGCGTCTTCCACAATTTCTAGTTCCTCGTATAGAAGGTACTTGTGAATGACAGTAAGGCGTACATCTCCCGCGTACGGGTCTTTCCTGATAATTGTACAGTTTGAGCCCAGCTAGGGAGAGCGATCTTTGAAGTTTCACTTTATTTCATGAAAAAAGCACATTTAGCTTGAAATTTTAGGTGCTTTCCCAGAGATGCCATTACAATTAAATTGCAGAATTTTGTGGGACTTGGTAGAGAGGCGGTTTGCGAGGTTATTTGAGGGCTTCTTTGCAGTAGGGTTTCGTTGTTAAGTTGCAAATTCGAATTTTTACTGATTAGGAATTTAATTGGGTGCAAAAATGCTGTCATGGTAAGTTGCGTGGTAAGTTAAAGGATCTTGAGACATGAAAAAGTTTATGGACTACTTAGCAGACAAAGAAGGAAAATAACTAAAAATGTATAACTCGTGGCTTCATATTTAAGCTCTATGAGTCCAAAAAGTCAAAAATTTCACCTCAGTATCAAATAAAAAACATTCGAATAATTACGATTCTGAGACTAAAAAAAGAGGAGATTACAGAGACGCGGACATTCCGTTCTTAATTCTACTGAAGCTTTAACATTATTTAAACGATATTTAAACGGTATCCAACATGTTTTTAATTTCTTTAATTTAGATTTTTTGTAAATCACTTTGGTCAGAACATTGGGCGCTACTGTCAAAAAAATCTATGAACTTCAGCGGCAAGTTTTTACAATTAATAAAACAAAAAAAAACGACAAACTAAGAAGCAAAGTTGTTTTCAAAAAATCTAACTCAGTTATCTAAAATAAAATCCAATTAGCTTCTAGAGACAAGAAAAATGCAGTGATAGTCCAATGTAACGTCGGCCCTTGCAGTAAAGACTCTGTTTTCAGCTGTTCGGTATAATTTCTTTTGCGAACAATCCTGAATTTTCACCTGTGCTCCTCACAATGTTGTGATCATCGTATCTCATCCAGCATAGTCTCTTCTCGAAATAAGATATGACCAACTGGGGACAATGGATACTGGCCTCCTCAATGGAGACAAACTCCCTCCTCTTCGAATCTTTCCACCTTCAAAAGAAAAGCACCAATTTCATTTTTTTAACACTTATTAAGTATACGTATCGCTCAAATTGTAATAAAATATACAGAGTAGACCACTCCTCAAATTTGGAACTAGCCAGAAGCTGGCTCCTTCGCAGATGATTGTTCAATTAAATGAGTAATTTGAGAACATAACCTGATGTAGACCATGAGATTGCCCTCATCTTCAGTGACTCCCACTACCTTCTCAGCTTCCAATCCCCGATCGAAGCCCGAAAATTCTTCGTCACTAGCTTCTTGACCAGTCGCGCAATCCGAAATGAAAAACGGAGACTGCAGTTGCAATTGAGAAAATCTATTGACTTTAAATTTTCCGCCAGATTTTCGTTTTCTTCCAATCCTGAAAACATTGAAATCCGGAATAAGTACTAAAACCAAGTTTGGCTTTCAAGATCAAGAAGTCCTATAGTTAATGTCGTTGCGAATTGAAGCTTTCAAAAACAGGTAAGCTCGCAGTAAATCGATGTATCAGTAAATTACTACACCATTGAATCGAATTATGAAACAATTACTTAACGGTTGCGCAATAATCTGTACTAACTGAGATTAACAAATGCATCAACAAATTGTAGACTTTTCACGCTAATTGACTGCAAAATTTCAGTTCCATAGCTATATAACTTAATTTACAACAATAATTCGCATGATTCCTGGCAAGTTTAGGGGTCAACTTCGTAGTTTCACGTTATTGATAAACATTGTTAGCTTGAAAAAACGTTAATTTGAAAAATACATTTTCGGTTTACAGAACACGTTTTTCACAATTTTCGGTTTATTGATCAGGTAAATTGAATTTCAGTTTAGTGATCTGGTAAATTCAATTATTTCGGTTTGGTGATCTGGGAAGTCCGTTTTCGGGTTGCTCATACATCGTTTTACTGACATACCACCCAAAATGTGTTAATAAAAGGCAACACAAGATAACTGTTCTCTCGATGCATAAAACAATCAATCAGCTTCCTACATCAATTTAATTACAGCACATGCAATTAATTACTAACTTTTTAATGAACTTCTTGTCTGGTTTCTTTGCAATTATTTCAGTGCGGATTTCGATAGATCTTTTCATTGCATTTTCTTTGTCCGTTTCTCCAGATATGTCCTTTTCCTTACATTCCTCCATCTCTTCAGTCCTTTTCTTTTCAAAATCAGAAATCAGTTCCGGGCAGTCCAGGTGATCCAGAGGCTCCCACGTATCATCAATAGCATCCGTGTGTTTCCAGTGGAGCAGGTAAAACACGCGTCCATCTACATGCAATTTCTTGTCAATGATGCGTTCCACTTCCATTTCTTCTGCATATTCAGGGGGCAGAGGCATGGGTCCCATCAGTTCGCCTTCTGGATGGGTGATTCCACTACTGGTAGACGGCACATCGCTACCGCACATCACAAACATCTTCAAATTCTACTATGAACTACTACAGATCAGTTCCAACAATTTTTATTACATCAAACAATAAAATTGTACCGGCTGAAACATCTACACCAATATAAAGAGCGGATGTTACAATTACTAGCCAACCAATGTAACTCATTAAAAGTTCTCATGGGAAAACGGTATGACTGGATCAATTAGTTTGGTAAACATCAATATCTTATGCGTCAGCTTGCGTAAATTTGGTTTACTTTTTAATAAAGTGCCACTTTATAACTGTTCTTGAAATGCTCTAACTTGATTTATTTCTTTGTTCGAAATTCGAACAAAGAAAAAAATCAGGTTAGAGCGTTTCAAGAACAGTTATAAAGTGGCACTTTATTAAAAAATAAACCAAATTTACGCAAACTGACGCATCTTTTTAAGCCGCTAAGAAATCTTAAATAAAAATACGCTTTCAAAACTAGAAGTCGTTCACATTTTTTCGCGTCGTTGGAGAGCGCAACTTACCTTTCTTCAAGTAATTGCGCTTAAAAAGAACTCAAAAATGCACATATACCTAACTGCATTCATAAATGTATAAATATGTATGAATGCACTTCTGTAGTTATAAGAGCATTTTAAAACTTTTTCCTGCAAAAACTAAGAAAAAGTGATCATGACTTATATAAGTGAATCACTCTGTTCGTTAACACGTAACTAACGAAAAAAAACACTTAGTAGTTAATGACCATTGTTTGACTGCTTTTCTGCAGAAAACTTTAGCACCAACTCAAATATCTAAAAAAAAATATTGAAACACATTAGAAGTGCATTCCAATCCTAAAAAAAATCATACCAATTCAGATGTGACTTTTGTTTTATTACTTGCATGTGTTCTTATTTCTTTGTTTACGTCCGTTTTATTAGTTAATAATTGTGTCTATTTAATTATTGTTGATATTTGGTGGTTTATTGTCTATACCCTATATTAATGTTTATCCAATATCCTATGGTTTTAAGTAGTTTCACCTAAGTTCGACGCAAAAGCGAAGCTTCGCTTCGCAAACACGAGCGAGAATACGACAAAAAGCAGCTCTTCAGTTCTAAAAAAAGCAATAAGAAGTAAAAATAAGCCTCGAATTCGTAAAAATTCGGCGACATCTCGGATTCGAACAATCGATCTAATGCGAGCAAGAAATTATAAGTCTCGAGCATTAACCACTCAACCACGGACGCTTAGTTTATCACAAACACTAGCCACAAATAGAGCAGAAAACAGATGCTATGAAATTTCCAACAAAACCACCAGGATGTCTCTAATAATGTTTATGTCGAAGTTAAGTTTTTGTCTGTGCTTCTTTGCGAGAGGGTCAAATTTTCTGTGAATTCCGTTTCATTGATCGTTTTATCAGTCATCTTGTTGTAGCCCAAAAACATGCCTCGGCTAACGTTTGGTTGCATGTTTCTTTCCATATCCGACACCGTTCGGTGTTATTTTCCATTCCATTTGGTAACGCATTCGTCTTGGCTGGTCACTTCAAATGTTTCGGGTTACTTTTTATTAAGACTTGCTTTTTATTTAAGAGGTCGTTTTCATCGAGAGAATCCAATCAAGACAATTTATAAATGCAGTGAGCCAAATATTTCTAAAAAATTTTTGTGATGTAATTGATACTCACCACTACAGTTGTAAATCATCCGGCTGGGTTTTTGTAGCATTTTTACTAGCTTCGCTTTTTCATAGAGGTCTTTTTCATCACGAGAATCTAATAGTGTCGGGTCAGGAATATGAAGAGCCGAAAAATTTTTTGATCTGTTTCTGAGTAAAATTTCTACTAACCACTGCTGGAGGAAAAAAAAGGGCTGGGTAGAGGCTGTTTCTTGGCCTTTTCCCAGCTCCGCTTTTTGGGTAGAGGCGGCTTCTTGGCCTTTTTCCCAGCTCCGTTTTCGACTTCGTCAGTTGACTTCGTGGTTATCAACTGTTAACACCTTTATCCTTAACTCGTGTAATACCACTATCAAATTCTTGCATCAATCAAACTTGGGGTAATTTTGCAATAAACAGTAGCTACATCCGTCATTGGTGTCCTGCAGATCATTTTATGGTTAAGCAAATCTCTCATTACCGAAATCGGTTGATAGTTACAGAGACAATATCGTATCGAAATTTGAAAGTTTTCGACCAGGATGAGATTCGGTTAAGATTAGCAGTTCTTTTACAGTCCAAACTGTAGGCAATTGACTGAATTTGAAAAAAAAATTAGCAAGAGATCTTATCAAATGCATTGATAGGTTTGCTCCGTATAAAATTCGCCATGTACCGAACAAAAAAAAGTTATAGCTTTCAATTGCTGTTCAAAAAGCCGCAAATGAAAGAGCTGAAGCATACAGATTTTACATACAAAAGCCCATCGATGATAACAAGATCAAGTACACATCACTAAGAAACAAATCCAATGCGTTGAACAAATTTATGAAAAAATTTTAGAGGGCTTAAATAAATACATCAGATTCTCATAAAAATCATAAGGCAGTCGCAGCATACCTTGGTAAACAAAGAGATCATACCTTCCCAGGCAAGGTTATAACAAAAAAGCTCAAGAAATGAACAATTTCTTTGTGAACATTGGCCCAAATCTTATTTAAAAAAGCGCAGTTGCCGATCCTTTTTGCATTGAAAACGTTGAGCCTTCAATTTTTTTCTCTCAATTTCACGAAAAAGAGGAAAATAACCTCTGCATTACCAAATAAGCTTAGCTCAAGGTATGATACTATCAATACTGCATTAGTTAAAGCATGTAAGCCAATGATCGTACCATGGCTCACAAAATTCTTAAAGAACCGCTTTATTAGTTTTTGCTTACTCAGTCTCTTCAAAACTGCTCAAGTGTTTCCGCTTCAAAAATGCGGATCGAAAAATTTTTATGAAAATTATCGACCCATTTCTTTGTTATCAAAATTAACAAAGGTTTTTGAAACAGCAAGTTACTCAGTGCCAATCAATTTGGTTTTCGTTAGAAATTCAGTACTGTTAAAGCCATTCTCGAAGTAACAGAAGAGGCTCGAAACTTGAAAGCTCAGATAAACAAATAGGCGATGCTGGTTCTTTTGGATCTTAAAAGGCTTTTGAAACGGTTAAACATGCAATATTAGTAAATAAACTAGAGCGATATGGCGTTAAATCTCTTTTAACTCTTGAAGATTACTTGGCAAATAGGGATCAGTTTGTAATTTTGAACGAACTTCTAAGCGATTTTCAGGCTAAACTGTGTGGGATCCTTGCTTTTTGACATACATCAATGACCTGCCTAAAAATTGTAAACTTAACTTGGTTGCTGATGATACATTTAATATAAAAAAAAACTTCTCGCGATGATTTTTAGGAAGATTTAATTCAAATAGATAACTGGATGAGATAAAACAATCTTGTTGCTGAAAGATCTAGATCCAAAATATTAACTATTTTCAAAATTGAAAAATGTACATTTTAAATTTTTGGACGCCTATTGCTAGCTGCAAAAAACTAGGCATTGACTGGCTAATAAGCTTTCCCTCAACGATCATGTATTAGGAGATATTATTGCTTTTGAAGTTGTGAAACGCCTTCGTAATGTGATGTCCATTGCTCAAACGATAATGTACTACAGAAATTAAGTTCAGCCTTGCGATCAATATAAAATTCTTGTGTATGAAGCAGTCTGTAAAGGTGCTTCAGATTCTATTCATAAGTTACAAAAACGATTTTTGTTAAGCATAAAATTTCGCAAAAACTATCGTGATTCTATATCGGATTGTCTAAAATAAAGTAGCAACAGTTTATGAGTTGCAGGTTTACGAGCTTTCGAAGAAAATTTCAGGAGCTTTTCAAGAAACAAATTTTTATTCCACAAGGTAATCTGCAAAAATTGTTTGTACTTTGCCAGCAATGAGAAGCAAATTAAATACAACCCTATATCTCATGATGTTGCTGATTTGATGAATTTTTTATCCAATAGGAGCTTAGTTATCCCCATTTTTTAAATCAAACTAGCGTGTAACGCACCACCGGTGCTTAGAATTTTGAACAACTCAAAATCCGCATATTTAGAAAAAAATATCTGCATCCTTTGACAGTACTCCGACAGCAACCAATTACAGGGTTGGTAGTTTCAAATTTTGCAAAGAGTTTTACTCAACTGAATTATTAAAATTTTGAAAAACCAACAAAATTTGTGAAGTTTTACATATTTTTTTTTTCAAGGAACTTAAAAAGTTCTTTGAAAAAAATTAAACTGAACTAAGAAACGTAAAGTTTCGGAAAGTTAAAACAAAGATCAGACCCATTTAAACGCAAGATTAGCAACTCATGAGAGTATTGTCACAAAACCCAACTACAGGGTTAGGAATTTCAATTCGAGAAACTTTTCAAATTTAGGTTTTCTAAAAATAAAACTTCAAAAACCATAAAAACCTCATCTCTTGAAACTTTTCATCGAGTTAAGCAGTCATATTTTGAGGTAAGATTCGCAAACCCTGACAGCAGTGTGACAGCCCCCAACTGAAGGGTTAGGAGTTTCAAATTTTGAAAAAAAAATTAATCTTAAGCTTTCTGCTTAATATATTTGAGCAGCCTTATAAGGAGGCAAGAGTCTCAATCCATGTGGGTACTTTGACAGCCGCAATTATGGGGTTACGAATTTCAAATCTTGAAGAAAAATGTTAATTTAAGTTTTCTGAAAAATTTTTGAAAAAATCACATAACATCATATCTGGATAACTAACAAAACTTGAGCAGTCACATTTAGAGGCACAATTTGCAACCCCTGAGAGCCTGAGAATACTCTGATAGCCCCTACTACAGAGCTGGAAACCCAAATTTTGAAGAAATTAGGTTCTCTAAAAACTTTTTGGAAAAATCCCAAAAAACGTCAAATCTCGAAAACTACAAGGATTCGAGCAGTCGTATCAAAAGCCGCAACTCTTGAGAGTAGCCTCATAGTTTCCAACTACAGGATTGAAATCTTCTAAGTTTTTGAAAATTTTTGAGAAATCATAAAAAACGTCATCTCAAAAACTACATGGATTTGAGAAGTGATATTTGGAGGCAAGATTCGCAACACCCGGGGAAACTCTGACAGCATCCCAGTATTGACTTGCTAAATTCAAAGTTAGTGAAATCAACAGATTTCAAACATGAAAATCGAAACAAATCTTAACCATAGCTTAAACGTGAAAAATTCTTTTGCTAAACATGCAAAACAA